TTAATGGTATAGATGGGTTCCAAATCTACAATGATGCATTGTACAAAGGTTTGGGATGTGTGTTAATGCAAAATGGGAAAGTAATTTCATATTCTTCACGACAACTCCGGCCACATGAAAAGAACTATCAGACCCATGACCTTAAACTTACAGCTATGATTTTTGCGTTGAAAATCTGGCGCCACTATCTATATGGAGTGACTTATGAAGTATATACCGACTACAAAAGCCTAAAATATTTCTTTACCTAGAAATAATTGAATATGAGACAAAGAAGATGGCTCGAACTGATTAAAATTATGACTTACAGATTTTGTATCATCCTGGGAAAGCAAATACAGTTACAGATGCTTCGAGCAGAACATCCATCGGGAATTTGGCATGTTTGCTTACTGGGCAGAAAGAATTGTTGTATGAGCTGGAAAGAAATGAAATTGAAATTGTATTGCATGAACATAGTGGAGTTTTTGCTGCCATATATGCACAACTAGCTATATTTGAGGAAGTTAAAGAAAAACAATTACAATATGAATTTTTGAAGAAGGTGGTTGATGAGATTGGTTCAAAATCGAGACCCGAATTTGTGTACAAAGACAATGTCTTGAAATTTCAAGGAGGACTTTGTGTACTAGATTGTTTAGATTTGAGAAAGCACATTATGACCGAAACTCATAATTCAAAATTTTCTATGCATCCCGGAAACACGAAGATATATCATGATTTGAAACAAAATTTTTGGTGGCCTTTTTTAGGATTTTATGATAGGTTTAATTGAAATCTGATTCGGAACCAAATAATTAGAATAAAATAATTATAATTGACTAGCCTTAAGCTAAGTCTAATTAGACTCCACTAATTGAGCCTATACAAGGCTAATTGATTTTGAACTCACTCGTATTTTACACTCCCTTATCTTCCTTGAGCTCAGAAAAAACGTGAGAGAGAGAGATAGAATCCCAGAAAGAGTTTGGATTTAAGGAAAGGAAAAAGAATTGTAGAGAATTGAAGGATTTGACTTCGAAACTCAAACAATTGAACATCTAGAATACAATTAAGAATCTAAGGTAAGAATTCAAGGCTCTAGTTTTGTAATTAAGTTGGTTAATGCATGAATTCAAGGAAATTAAGCTATGAGATGCATGAAATGAACTAAAGAAGTAGGAAAGAAAAGTTAACCATGCATGCATGTGCATTTCATGAAGTTTTGAAGTTGTTCTCAATGAATTCTCACTTGCATGTGCTCATCTTGACTTTGTTTTGTGAATTCATCACATTTCAAGACATTTTATCTCAATGATCATGTTTTGGAAGAAATGAAATCATGTCAATTCTGGCATGTGTTTTAACTCAAGTTTGGTTTGCACAACTGACTTAGCTTTGGGCTTCTATTTTGTGAAATGATCTTTAATTCTTGATATATTACAAGTTCAAACATGTTTTCTTAAGTTTTGGGCTCAAAAGGTGTGTTTTGATGCTTTGAAGTTGAGTTTTGAAGCTGGGAGTGCAATTTGGAAATTCCAGAACTCACACACTTTGCTCGAGCGGTGGAGTCTGCGCTTGAGTGAAGAATGCAAGCTCTCAGTACTTTTGCAGAGTTTGGGGGTTGGCTCAAGTAGCGGAACCTGTACACGAGTGACCACCCGTATTTTTGATCCTCAGCTTGAACGTAGGAAGTTCTGCTCGAGCGTAAAATAAGAGCTCCCAAAAGTTTTGCAGACCGCTCAAGCGACTAAAGTTGCGCTTGAGTGAAGACCATGTTTTAAGCAAATTTGATTGAGTGTTTCAACTTATATTTTGGCATCCTCATTGCATCTTAGGCATTCATAAGACTTAATTGAGTCATTATATTGAGGATAAAAATTAGAAACACGCCCAGATAGAAAGGGAATGAGTTAAGTGTTTTTCGGGCGTGTGTTTCAATGTGTATCCATTATGTGTTTGTATAGGTCACACGCCATAGACTATACGATTTGTCTGCTCTGTCCATTCTGCTACCGGAGCTATTTGTGAGTAACAACTTTGTAACAGTACATTTGAATAAAAGTAATTTCAGAATGATAAGTTATTATTGGTTTATGAAATGATATTTTATGAATAATGAATGGATGGTCAATTTTTTTGAAATGTATTTATGGCATCCTTAGTTCACATGGCCCTCGCCTGGGGGAAACAATACTGTGGCTTATGATAATATGGCCCTTGCCCGGGGGAAATTATATCATGGTCTATGTTCACATGGCCTTCGCCCAGGGAAGACAATACTATGGTTACTTGTGCACAAGATATGGACCTTTGGGGTCGTTGGCATCGACTATGCATGTAGGTCTTAGGACCAATTTGATATGATAGCTAATGGATGTACCCTATATAACTACTTATGACTTCTGGTTAAGTATGTGAATCTGAATCTGTTTCTGATATGAACTCTGAATTTTGAAACTGTTTGGACATCATTCATAAACCTTTTACTCTATTGTTATTTAGTGGGAGCTTACCGTATTATTTATGTATGTAGTGACCAGGCGCATGACCAAGAACAGAGTTGATTGCCTAGAGTTCTGTTCTGTCAACCAGCCATTGTGCCTCCCGAGGAGGTTCCCATTTGAGAAGTGGTCTTGTTTTTGTGAAGAATGACTAAGATTTATCTTTTGTTTTGTTTTGTCTTTCTTTCTGTCTTTATTTTTTATTTTTTATTTACTTATTTATTTATTTTTTACTACTGGTTAAACATGTCTTTTGTTAGTCTGTTGTTAGCCCTAAGGTTATTTGAATTTAAATTCTAATTGATTTTGATTATCGACAAATATTTTGAACTCATTTATTTATTCAAAGTTTTCATCATAATATTATATTATTGCTCTTCATTATTTCTAATAAAATTGTCAATTTCTCATGAATATTGGTACCTCAAAAACATGGATTAGCACTTGTATGCAAAACACTATTTGTGCTTTAAATAGGTCCAAGGGTCAACATCAAGACAATAAGGGTTGACACTAGAATGAAGTACACAATGTCTAGGTGCTACAGTTACCAAGGGTTGACACTAAGAATGACAAGGGTCGATACTAAATTTCAATATACAAGGCTTAGACAATCCAGCAGCAAGGGTCAACACCAAGAATGACAAGGGTCAACACTAAATTTCAATATACAAGGCTCAGACAATCCATCAGTAAGGGTCGACACCAAGAATGACAAGGGTTGACACTAAATTTCTGTATACAAAGTTCAAACTTCCAGAAAACAAAGGGTCGACACCTAGTTATGAAAGGGTCGACACCAGAAACACTTGGAAATCACACAAAGAAGAAAAGAGAAGCAAAGGGTCGACAACCAATCTATAGGGGTCGAAACAATTAAATCTGGGTTTAAAAAAAAACCCAGCCACCCATTCAGATCTATTTTGACACAAGTTAAATCTAAGCCACTTTTTCTGATCTATGCGCAAAATTACAATCATTTTTTATCTGTGAGCAGACTTTTATGACACAATATCTTCTACTATTAGCTTCCAAGATTTGACTTATGAGCTTGTGCATTTAATGAGGCTTCACTTCGAAAGACTTTATGACAGCCTCTGCACACCTATGCTCTGCTCCTTACAGTTAGAAGATATCACCCATACTCCACTCATTACAGTTAGAAGATGATCTGCTCCAACAACTAGAATTCTCACCCATGTTTCTCGCCAATGGCTAGAAGCCATTAAAGCTATAAATGAAGAAGCTTTCCAGATCTAAAAATACCTCTATTCAATACAAAATTTCTAAGCATTCAATAACATTCATTTATCATACTCTATTGTATTTCCAGTTTCATATCTGAGTGTATTAAAAAATCCCTCTGCTATTTCACTTTCATATTTATTTTTTGAGAGAAATATTTTGTAAAAAAGGATAGTTGTACCTCTTATTCTTATTCTCTTATTTTCTGAGTGAAACACTTGTAAGGTAAGGCATTTAGTTAAGACGCCGTCAACAGATAAAGTAAGTCCTATGTAAAAATCCTCAAGCTAGGTGAAGCTTGGTGGTGTATTGATTCGATTCATAGTGGAGGAATTCTCAAGGAGGTACCTTGAGGAGTGGACATAGGCCGGTGAGCTGAACCACTATATATCTTTGTGTTTGAGCTCTTTTTCCTTCTCCTCTATTCTCGGTATTATTAACTGCATGCTGAATATTATTTACTTGGTTAATTACAATCAATTTTTTTTTATTACCCAATTCACCCCTCTTTTGGGTTGCCTACCTGGGTAACAATTGGTATCAGAGACTCGTCTTTAGCTCTGTGCCTTAACCATCTTAGAGTGATCCGTGGCAACCCCTAGCTCCTCTCTTCCTGACGTTCAAGCCTCAAGCAGACCACCCTTACAATGGCACAATTCCAACTATTGGAAAACCCATACTATTATGCATATCCAATTTATCGACTAGTGCTGATTATAAAGATATTCAAGCCAATGCCAAAGCTGTTAATATGTTGTATTGTGCACTTGATACTGCTGAGTTCAATAGAATTTGTACTTGTACAACGACAAAAGAAATTGTGGATAAACTTATTGTAACTCATGAGGGAACTACTCAAGTCAAAGAGTCTAGAGTTAGTTTACTTGTTCATAACTATGAGCTCTTCAAAATGAAACCTGATGAGAACATCTCCCAAATGTTCACTCGCTTTAATTATATTATAAACAGTCTGAAATCTCTCAGTAAGGCTTATACTAATGTAGAAGTTGTGAGAAAAGTCCTCAGGTCTTTGCCAAAAAGCTGGGAGAACAAAGTTATTGCGGTGATAGAAGTAAGGGACTTATCAACATTAAGCCTTGATGAGTTGATGGGATCTCTCCTAACTCATGAGCTCATTATGCAAGAAGGAAAGGAAGAAGATGACAAGAACAAGAAGAAAGGGATAGCCTTTAACTCTACCTCAAAATGTCAAGAGGAAAAAGAAAATGATTAAGAGGAAGATTGTGGAAGAATAAGGGGCTTGTAGAAATCATGAAGAATGATGATGGTTTTGTTTTCTTTATGTTTGAAAATCGGGACTGTTGTATAGATGTGTTAGAGGGAGGGCCGTGGTATGTAGGAGGTTTCCTTCTCATCTTGAAACAGTGGCATCGCATGATGAAGCTGTCTAAGGAAGATAAGAAAACTATTCCGGTGTGGGTGAAATTCTACAATGTACCCTTGGAATATTGGGATGGGGATGGTTTAAGTAGGGTAGCTAGTGCAGTGGGGGTACCGTTGTTATTGGATCAACTTACATCTTCAGGAAGCCGAATTTCTTTTGCTAGAGTATGTGTGGATATTCTAGCAGTTTCTGCTTTCCCTGACAGTTTTGCCCTCACTAGTGGTGATGATTCTATTACTATTCAAGTGGAGTATCAAGGTGTTCCCTCTAGATGCATGCATTGTCAAGTCTTTGGGCATGATACAAAGACCTGTCTTTCTGCTCAAGTGGAAAAACTTGTTGAGTTACAGAAGAATACTGAGGAAAGGGTTGAATCTGTTGGGGGCTGGATGAAAGTGAAGGATAAGGGAAAAAGGAAAATTGGTGACCACTCAGCTCCTGTCCAAAATGTCCATGTTGATGAAACGAGTTCATCTGCCACTAAAGGGGAATGATATGGTGACTGAAGTCCAGCCTGAGGGGGGTGCCATCCATTCTGAGATTGAAGAAATTGTTGCTAATGCTACCGACCAGATAGTTGCATTCCATTCTGAGCTTGTGGAGATTGCAAAAATCATAAACCCAGTAGCAGAGGACTTTATTAGAAGCATTCAGCATGCGGAAAATGAGGACGTCAGAGCAAATACATCGAAAATGCAGGGAGGAAAGGGAGATGGTGGAACAAATGTGGGCAGTTCAACCAAGAATAAGTCTTCTGGCAGAACTCAGGAAGCAAAGGAAGAAAAAGAGGTAAAATAGTGTTCCTTTTTGTGGTGATCTGGTTGTGTTCTCATTTTTGTTATTTTAATCATGTCTATAAAACTTTCATTTTGGAATGTTAGAGGGTTTAATAACCCTTCAAAACATAAAGAAGTTATTGATTTTGTGAAAAAAGAAGACATTAAAATTATGGGCGTTTTGGAGACAAAAATTAAGATGGAAAATGAAGCTAAACTTTTTTAACATAGCTTTAAAAATTGCAAATTTTTGTCTAATTCACAACCAGATCTGCCAGCTAGAATTTGGATTTGTTGGGACCCAAACTTTTGTGATATTTTGGTGGTTCAAAAGTCAAACCAGTTCATTTTCGTTAAGGTGACTATTTTTGAAAACGATTTCAATTTCTTTGCTACTTTTGTCTATGCAGAAAATAAGCATGAGTTGAGACTCCCCATTTTTTGTGATCTGAAGAAAATTGCTATCAACCATGCTAGTCACCCCTCTGTCTTCCTTGTTGATTTTAATGTTGTTAGGTTTTAGTTATGAAAAAATTGGGGGGGGGGGAAGGAGGGTTGGAGTAGTGAAATTGATACTTTTAATAATCTGATTTTGGATTCTGAGTTGGAAGACTTATGTTATAAAGGGTGTCAATTTACTTGGTTGAATAAGCGTGGTGGTGGTAATTCGATTACTTCTAAAATTGATAGAGTCCTTGTTAACGAGAGGTGGTTAACTACTAATCCCAACTCATATGCTCTCTTTCTGCCTCTTGGAGTCTCTGATCATTCTCTTGTGATTGTGCATATTGGATCTGATGCGGTTAAACTTAATAAACCTTTTAAGTTTTTTGATTTTTGGGCTGACCATGCTGAATTCCTTTCTAGAGTGCATGATGTTTGGAGAAAATATGTCAGGGGCTCTCCTATGTTTAGGGTCTGTCAAAAGCTTAAATCTCTAAAACCTATTTTAAAGCTTTAAACAAAAAGGAGTATAGTGAGATTTCTACTAGAGTTGGGATTGCAAAGGATCATCTCCTTAATTCTCAGATTAAGCTTGACAAAGATCCGATGAACTTAACTCTTCGGGAGGAGGAAAGGGCTGCCTATGGCAGATATGTGGATCTCAGTAAAGTTGAGGAAAGTCTCGCTCATCAGAAATCTCGTGTCCAATGGTTAGGGTTGGGGGATAGAAATTCCAAATTCTTCTTTAGAACTGTTAAGGGAAATGTGAATAGAGGGCGGATCCACAGTGTTGTTCTTCCTAATGGGGATAGAGTGACTAAAAGTGAAGAGGTCCATAAATCCTTTGTGGACTCTTTCACTAGTTTGTTTGGGAAGCCTTTCGATGACCATTATAATGGGTATGATAGGATTAGTAACCTGGTCACCAAAAGAGTTTCTGAAGCCCAGTATCAAACCCTTGCTAGGGAGGTTATTGTGAAGGAGATCACTGATGCTTTCCATTCACTAAAAGCTAACAAGGCCCCTGGCCCTGATGGGTATTCTGCGGGTTTCTTTATGAAAGCTTGGGATACTGTGGGGAGAGAGGTTGTTGAAGCGATTAAATCTTTTTTTACATCGGGGGAGCTTCTTCAGGAATTGAATAGTACCTCCATTGCTCTTATTCCTAAGACCCCCAATGCTGAAAAAGTTGGGGACTTCAAACCTATCTCTTGCTGTAATACTTTGTATAAGTGTATCTCGAAGATCATTACTGATAGGATTAAAATTGTTCACCATGATCTCATTGATCCTGTGCAATCAGCTTTTGTCCCTAGGAGGAGAATTACTGATAATATTTTTCTTTCACAAGGGAATTAAAAGCTGGACAAATAAGTGTCTCACTTATACTGGTAGAGCCCAGTTGATCTAATCTGTTCTCTTCTCTATGCAAGTGTTCTGGACCTCGCTGTTTATTCTTCCAAAGAAGGTCATTCGTTCCATAAAGAGTCTGTTTAGAGCCTTCTTCTGGTCTGGATGTGAGCTGAAGAAGTATGGGGCTAAGATGTCTTGGAATAGAATGTGTTCCCCTAAAAATGAAGGGGGCTTGGGCTTTAAGTCTCTCAATGTGTGGAATAAGGCTGCTATTGCTAAGCATGTCTGGTTCCTCTTCTCTGGGAGAGAGCAATCTATGTGGTGCCTTTGGATTAAAGCTTATATCCTCAAAGGTAGAAGTTTTTGGAGAGTTAGGGTGCCAAATGACCCCTCCTGGGTTTGGAGGAAAATTCTTTCTCTTAGACCTATCATTTACCCTTTAATCAAACATAGGGTGGGAGATGGTTCTAGGATATTTCTATGGTTTGATAACTGGCACCCTATGGGATCTGTGTGGGATAGATTTGGGGTCAGAATTGTTTATGATTCTGCTTTGGGTATAGATGCTAAGGTTAGTGAGATTGTGGAAGGTACTACTTGGAAGTGGCCTTTCCCATCTTCATGGGAGCTTATGGACCTCATTTCTAGTACTCCTCCTACTTATCTCCCACTGGTAGGTCTGATGATGTGAGTTGGAGTCCTGCAGCTAGTGGTAAATTCACTATCTAGTCCAAATGGCATTTTTTGAGGCATCATTTTGATTATGTGAACTGGTCTAAGATTATTTGGGGGCTCATAATATTCCTAAAGTGAGTTTTGTGGTGTGGATGGCTATCCTTGGTAGATTGAACACTGGAGATAGGTTGAAAACCTTTGGTGTGACTCAAGCTACTGAGTGTGTTTTCTGCCAGGACCCTTGTGAAGACCACAAGCATCTTTTCTTTGAGTGTCCATTCTCTGAAAAAGTGTGGACTTGTATCAAAGGAAAGATGAAGGTTGATTGGCCATCAATTCCTTGGAGTGACTTGGTCCGGCTTATTGCAAAATCTGTGAAAGGGAAATCTTTAGGGACTATTATTACCAATCTTGCCTTTACTTGTACTGTGTACCAATTATGGATTGCTAGGAATAATAGAGTCTTTAGTAAGGATATGGTCACTGAAGAGGTGGTTATAAAGTATATTGTGGATATGGTTAGATTCAGGGTTATGCATATAACCAATTTGAAATCACACCATACTGATATATGGTACTTGAGCTCTTGGAGAATTCCCCATACTGTGCTGAAACATGCCGTACCTGCTGTGAGGGATGTGAGTTCACAAATTGTGGGTTGAGTGAAGGAAAGCATATAAAATGTGGGGTTTCCTAATGTTTGTTATTGATATAGGTATGCGGCCCACTGGGGAGGAGAAGATTGAGTGTGTTCCATTTTCTATGAGGGTTGAGTATAGTGTGAGGAATAAACTAACTCCTAACCCACTATCACTAGCCATATTGCGAGGGACTAACATGTTTTTATATATTTCCTGTATCTTTTTATTTTGCAGGTATATGGGGCTATGTTTCTCGAGTGATGTGAGCATATATATATTTGTGGGTTGAGTGTAGTGAGCAGCTATATGTGTGTTGTAAACAGCAATCTATCACTGTTTCTTAATTGTTTTTGGTTTGTGGATTGGCTAACCCTGTTTTGGTACTTGTTCATGGAAGGGTTTACTATAATGTCTAATCTCTGTTTGGATTGTATGGGGCGGCATAACAGTACCTCCCTTGTTGATGCTGTCTGGTTCGGTGTTCAGTCTAGATTCCTTCAAGCTTTGGAACTAACTATGCTCGTGTTGATGGCTGCTGAAGGCGCCTCTGTGTGTGAAGAAATTCATTATTTTATTTTGTTTTATTTAGTTTGTTTTGCTAGATGGCCTACCCGTGCGGGATGTGCACGGGGGTACAAATCAGTGTGGTTACTCTCGGCTATTTGCTACCTAGTTATATAGGTGTGTTCATGTTCCTCATCACATCTGCATGCGGCCCATGAACACATTGGTAGTTATTTTGTTATTATGTTTGGGTTCTATAGTTTTGTTGTTTTTTCTTTCCTTTCTTTTTTTGACTGTTTAGATATGTGATGTTAACATTTTAAACTGGTTTTGTTTAGGCCTTTTTGGCTTGGCTTTGTTTTATTTTGTCCTTGGTCCTGTTTCTTGTATAGTGCTTGGCTAGGGCCTGGAGTATGCTTCTTGTGGTGGTGTAAGTTTTTTGCCTTTTATTTTATGACTTATCCACCCAAAAAAAAAAAAAAATGATTAAGAGGAAGATGATGAAGAAATGGAATTCATTACCAAGAGGTTCAAAAGGTTTGTGAAGAAGAAACAAGGTGTAAGGAAGTTCTTCATAAAAGACTTCAACAAAGATCTTCAAAAGGGAAAATCACAAAAAATCTGAAGTTACTTGCTACAAATGCAACAAACTGGGACACTACAAATTAGAATGTCTGGAGCTCAAGAAACAATTCAAGAAGAACAAGAAGAAAGCCATGATTGCAACATGGGGAGAAGATAATGATGATAGCGACCCAGAAACTGAAGTGTGCAAAAATGAAGTTGTTAACATATGCTTGATGGCGCTTGGAGATGAAGATGAGGTAAATGATGAACCCTTTACTTTTGAAGAACTACAATCTTCTTTTGATGAATTACATGCCGAATTTAAAAAGATTAGTTCAAAAAGTAGTTGTCAAAAGAACATGATTCCAAGTTTATCATAAGAAAATGAATCCTTGAATTCTAAGATCAATGCTTTAGAAAATGAAGCCTTGAAAGTGGAAAAGGAGAAAGAGGTGTTAAAAGAGTCTTCCACTTTTGAAAAGAAAATAGAGGTTTTGTAAAAGGAAAATGAGATTCTGAAATAGAAGAAAGTTG